TCCCTTCTTCAAGGGTTTTTTGACAAATTATCCCCCTTTTTTGACTTAAAAAAGTGTTTTGAATTTGGTTTAATTTTTTTGTACCCCCTCACTTTTTTTAAAAACCATTGGAGTTTTGTTTTGAAATGACCATACTTGTTACCTCACCCCTTCATCAACAGACAAAGGACAAAACCTGTAAAGGGTTTTTTGACAAAAATTATCCCCTTTTGATTTAGAAAAAACTTTTGAATAGGGGTAAAATCCATTTTTGTTTAAACCCTTTGAGATATTGTTTTTAAAACTTTTAATGCATTTCACATCATTACCCCCATCTGTACGCAAAGAAGGAAACTCTGTCAAGGGTTTTTTTAAAAAAAAGGCCTTTTCGAAAAAACTTGTTAATTTTTGGTACAGTCCATTTTTTGATGAACTGTTAAAAATTTTAAAATTTTAAAGTTGGGAAACTTTTTTAAAATCATTTTCCCAAACATTCCGGGAAAGAATTTTCGTAAAGATTTTTTTTAAATTTACCCTTAACGTCATTTTGGTATTTAAAAAGCACAAAAAATTAAAAAAATTAAAAAAATTTCTTTCCCCTTCCACTTTTTCACTTTCCCAAAAATTAGTCATAATAAAATAATTTTCACTAAATACTTAAGCCATGGCCATTTTTCATTTAAAAAAATACAGAGTTTCTTTATTGCCTTTCTGAAAAAAATTTTTTTTTTTGGAACAATAAAAAAGTCAGGCGCGTTTTAGGGACCCCCTTTTTTGTTAATTTTTGAAGACGCTCTTTTTTTTAAAACAACGGTTACTCCCAATAAAACCCAAGTGCTTACTCACACATAAATTTTTCCAAATTTAAATATGATTCCTTTTATTAAAAACAAGGGACTTTTAAAAATGACAGCAAATCCCCTTTTTCAGTTTAAGCACATTATGCCTCAGAAATGAATCAATATTTCATGTTTTAGATAAGTATAGGATATTGTTAGGTAGCTTAACTCTTTTTAGTCTGCATCTGATGTTGGTTAATATATTTATGGATGCCTTTAAATCTTTTATAAAAGAAATTATCCAACTTATACAGTATGTCATATTTTTGCACAAAATAATGTCTGCTTTATATTGGTTCTTTGATCCTAGTCAATCAGTAGAGCTTCAAAGTTGACACTATTCCATAACAGTATATTTTTTACTTAAATACAAACAAAGCAAATTGTTAGTGTCTAGGGTAGCAAGTTATTTCCTGTAAATTCTTTGATTATATTTGATTAAATTATTTTCATAGCTAGAGAAGGAGAGTTACGACAGCTACGTAAGCAGACTACAGAGCTAGAAGAACAAAATGCAATACTGAGTAAACATATAGAGAACATGAAACAGGTAAGTGGTCATTGTTATGTTTCAAATTTTATTTTCAAGGCAATCCTTCTTTGGCAATATAGGTTAGATAGAGTTTTCCTAAACACATTTTCTCCAACATGAGTATTTTCATTACTTCTTAGAGAAATATGCATGAATTTTATTTTTACCTGGTCCAATCTTTATCCGCCCTTTGAATAAAAACTTGTTCTAAAAAAGCATCAATTCATTAAAGGACTGGACTTCAAATCTGTGTCAGAACAGCTTACAGGTAAAAACAATTTGCCTTAGCCACCAATATAGAGCTAAGCAGACTTCCAAGATTTTATACTAACCAAGATTTTATACTAATGAATAGTAAAAAGTATGTAGTCAACTGCAAATACTTAAAATTCCATTTAATATACCAACATTTTAGCTGAACAGCCTTCCTCAAGGTATTTAAAGAATTTATTCTCAAATTTTGTGGAATTTTCTTATTGAGTCTCAACACAGCAAATTCATAACAAAAATTCAGCAGTTTAAAGATATATTATGATCAAATTTGTTATTTGAAAATAATAATAATTGGTACTCAATCTAAATGTAAAATTAAAAATAAACATGTTTTGAGTACACGCAGAAAAAAATATGTTATGTTTCAAACTCTGTACACTACAGGTAAACATCGTACATGTACTTGTTCATAGTGTCATGAAAAACTGGTAGTTTTAATGAAAGGACCAACTTAGCTTGACCCATTATAGGGAATGCAGCTTCCATACATAGTTTGTGCATTCCCTTGTTCAAATTAAGACATATTCAGTAAGAATTTTATAGATTTCAATAAATTTCTGTCATAAAAGTATTTTACTGACAGATTAGCATAGAATATCTTTAAGACTTTATTACATTTTCTTGCCATGACCATCACCATATTCTGGTAGTTATTTTATATGAGTCACGCCATGACAAAACCAACATAGTGGGTTTGCAAACAGCATGGATCCAGACCAACCTGGGCATCCGCGCAGTCTGATCAGATCCCTGCTGTTTGTTGTCAGTTTCTCTACTTGTAATAGGGTTTGTAAGCAAACAGCATGGTTCCTGATCAGACTGCGGGTCACACACCCATTGTGTTAGTTTTGTCATGATGCAGCTCAAATATTATTATTTCAGGCTATAGACAAACTTCAAGTTGAAGCAATTCAACAGAGGAATAATAACATGGCATTACAAGGTCACCTTGATGCTCTAAGACAAACTTTAACAGCAAACTTTAACAATATACCACTGCCAGGTAGTTATCTTATCCTTACTGTTACTAAATAAATTATCTTAAATGGACTTATCCATCTTTCATACTAGACAAAACTGATTTACAATCTGAGGGAAAATTTCAAAATATGATCTGACTGAATAGCGAACAGTGCAGACCATGATCAGTTAAATTGTGCTGGGCGAATTTTGTCTGTACTTGTAGCATGGATAAAATACATTACAGACAAAGGGCTTATTATTTATTTTTGGGGCCTGTATGACTAAGTGGTTAAGTGGTCGTCTTTGAATCATGTAGACTATGGTTTCAAGTCCAAACAGTGATTGGATTTTTTCATGTGCGTGAAGTACCAAGGTTTATAATAGACAGTCAGTTCTGCTCATGCCTGAGCTCTTAAAAATGCTCAATAAAATTTTCAGTCTACCACCAGTAAAATAGAAGAGTTACTCGTTATATTTAAAACCTGTTGCCAGTTACATTAAAAACCTGTTGCCCTTTACATTTAAAACCTGTTGACCATTACATTCAAAACCTGTTGCTTGTTACATTTAAAACCTGTTGCCCGTTACATTTAAAACCCAACCAAGACAGGAAATTGATCTGAACTGATGGAGCTCATTTATAGATAGATCTGATGAGATAACTTTGATTCTTTTTCACTCTAAAATAAGATGTAGACACAAGAAACTATAGATACCATGTAGGAAGCTCATACAGCTGTAGTATAGAAGATGTGGTAATTTCCATTTTAAAATGAAATGCAGACCTAAGAAACTATAGACAGGTGTATGCAGTTCATATAGATAAAGTATAGATCTGATGTGATAACTTGTCTCTAAATGAGATCAAGAATCTAGAAACTATAGATACCCTGTATATGTTGTATAGATCTGTTTAGATAATTTGTCTGTTATTTTACTGTACAGGTAGTAATGAGATTCCCACCCTGGAGACTATAGATACATACATGGCTAGACTGCATTCTGTCATACTTGAACAACCGCAGAAAAATGAGAAACTGATTGCACAAGTTCGAGACATTGTCGGACGTCTAAACATTGACAGGTATGCATATATTTGGTACGATATTGTGTTCTTTTAAAGAATAAGTCTTTTAAAATCTACTGAACACTTATATATCACTAAAATTTAGTTTAAATATATTTTAATTGTCACATAAGAACATATCTACATATATGACATTTTACAAACAATACAAAAAGGATTAGACTGGAAGCAATCTTAATTTTTATAGTTCATTTATGAATAATGCAGTCACTGTATTTTTACTTTAACTATCCTAAAAATAATATTTGTATTGGTTAAAGAGCTGCTGAAAAAATTAATTTTGTTAGTTTTCTATGTTTCAGTACTAGTTAATAGGACCTCATCATTAGATAGAAGATAGATAGACGACCACATTCATTGTTGAATTACGAAGAAGATGAACAATAAACTGAATGCAGTAGCGCTGAAATGTTGACATTATTTCTTGAAAGAAAAAATTTCATAACACTCAAGTGGACTGAGTGTGCAGTACTTATTTAAGGTGTTGACAATCACAAAGTTCTGTCAATAAGGAAAATTATGTCAGCTTTTATTTTTGAGAGACAATATGCGTGTTAAATTATCATTAGGACTTGGTAAAGATGTTAATGAGAGATCTCTAGAGGAGAAATAACATACCGGATTGGCTACAGATTGATGTGAAAGCATTAGCCCTCACCCGGCTGGTGCCAAGTGATTCACCTTTCCCATCAGTATAGAGCCAGGCCAGTCTGAAGTTCTGTTAATCTCACTAGGCTCTATACTGTTCATGCTGTTGGCAGATTAATTTTTGTATATTTTGATGTTGAAATCCCTACAACTTTAAATGGATTGTTCCAAATTCAAAGCAGGGCAAGTCCATTACCAAAATTCAGTAGATTTAGGATTAAGTAATATTGATTTTAGGCTAAAGAATGAAATTGCAGTGTTAATACAAAAGATATTAACTCCAATATAAATTTTGTACCTGACAATTATTGTAATTTTATGTGTAATTGAAAAAAACTGTTTTTGTACTGGATTTATTAAGATTTGTTCTGTTGATTTGATCTTTGCAATAAAAAAAATGCCAATCTTTATACATCGTTGGATTCCCACAGATGAACCATTATCATTGATTGCATGTTATGTGACATGTTTATCGATTGTGGGTATCCGACGATGATCTTAATAATTCTTTAGAACATTGTATATGGAAAATGGGTAGCCTTATTCAGATTATCTTTCGTTGGTTCCTTCTCTGTTGTGGGTTTGAATCCTGCCAAAAATTTTGAATTCTTTCATGTAAGGAAGCTATCCAGCTAGCTTAAGGAACATGGGGTGGTTCTACTCAGGTGCCTATTTGTGCCTGAAATTATACACAGAAGGGCACCTGAAGTCTTCATTCAGCAGTAAAGCGAAAATGGCAACATATAGTGTTTACCTTTAAAGTGTTGGTGTGTGATAAAACTCAAGGCCCCAAAAACTATTCTGTTGGTTGCACATCTGTGCTACAGCTTAATAATGCTGTATACTGTTGGCATCTCAATTTGTTTTATTTTACTACTGAATCCAGATAAATTCAAAGTCAATTACACAAGTTTAGCACGTAAAAGTGAAACATGTAGCTGGGACAAGCTTGCTTCCTGGGGGAAAAAAACTTAAGTACAGGTGTCATAATTATAAAGATGTCATACGAGTTGTGGCTAAAGTATGTATATAACCCATGATTAGGGTTTGACACTTTTGTCTTGTTAATCAAAATTGTTACAATTGTGGTGTGGATGAAGAGAATATGAGATGTTAATTGAAGCATGTTATTCCTAAGACTATATCAATAAATGTATAATGAATGGGTCAGTACATAGAGTAAGTAAGCAGTGCTTACAAATCCAAGTTAAAAGGCACTGCATATAATGTTCATTTACTGTAGCGTTAGATTTAACCTATAGGCCACAGCATTTTTAAGTTTCATCTATTGTTGATTTTACAAGGTTCTTCCTCCAGCCTATGAATCATGTATCCTGATTGGCTGATTTTAGATTTGAAATGACCAATCAGTAAAGGATTAAACTGGTTATTGTTTTAGATGAATTTTTCAGTTTCTGTTCAGCATATTTAATTATTTTATAGTTAGGTAATGCAAGTAGTTTTAAATAAATCACACATAAAAATGAATGCGAGTTTGGATTGAGAATTGATAAAATTCCAATGTGTTGCATGTTTGTTAATTGTTATTGAAAGAATATAAGTTAATGTATGTTTCTGCTATAGTGATACTGGAGAAAAGGTGTTTCAAGCACTTTGACTAATTGTTATGTACATGTGTTAAAATCATTTTATGTTATATGCTAGGTAATTTGTACCAATAAAGTTTGTTTGAAGTACATTGTATAGCTATCTTGCTTTTTTGTTTACAATACATAAGTATATTTTAGCTCGATTGTTCAAGAATATTCAACCTGTCCCAGCATCAATGGTAGGCACAAGTTTTGTATGCTTTAACCTCTATCATGATTTGAAATGCATGACATTGAACTTAATTTCAGCTAGGCTATGAAAGTGAAAAAGCAAGAACCTTTAGGTCTACCTACACAGCCAAAATGAAAATACTGCAGTTTCTGTTTGTGGAAATTTCATCATATTTTTGCTATTAGTGTTATTAAGATATGTAGTTAAAAAGTACATTATACCTTAGAATAAGAAATCTTCAGAAAAGGCAGAAAAGTTTAATAACATTTAAAAATGGGTTTTAGAGATATTTATCACATGAGCAAAGTAAGATTGAATTTGAAATTATTTGTCATAAACATATGTGTAAAATGTAAGCAAAGTAGTATTATGACTTCCATACAAAATCACTTTAACTGTACTGATCGCCAAAGGTAACAAAGGCAAAAGATGGTTCGGGCTATTGACCATTGATTAACTTTTTAGACACCAAATTAAGACTGCATTCTACAATACTACAGGTATTTCTGAGGCATTATTGGTTTTTATACATATTATTTATTTAAGCTTAATTATAAAACAAGTCCTGGCACATTATATATATCACTTCTGAGTCTGCTTCCTGGAACTAACAAGTACTAGTGTCATGAAGAAACATATTTTGACCAGAACAGGTTTCAAATCCACAATCCCTGGGTGGAGAGACACGTCACAGACACCTTAACAGCAAGACCTCGGCTCCCTTTTGATGATACTTGGGATGGAAACATTTACGAAAACATCTTGTTTTACATTATATTTTATTTCCAAGCAACTAATGCCAGATTTCTTGGAGAAATCAATTCATCAAATACAGGTATGATATCTGCCTGCAAGCCTTGTTCACACAACCATTGTTTTCTATCCATGTATATCAAAGATTCCAAGACTGGTTGTAGAAGATACTGTAGTGCCTGAAATATAAAACATAGCACCAGTCTTAAAAAACATTTGAGCCGCGTCATGACAAAACCAACATAATGGGTTTGCTACCAGCATGGATCCAGACCAGCCTGTGCAGTCTGATCAGGATCCATGCTGTTCGCTATCAGTTTCTCTACTTGAAATAGCCTTTGTAAGCAAACAGCATGGATCCTGACCAGACTGTGCCGATGCGAAGGCTGGTCTGGATCCATGCTGGTCGCAAACACATTATGTTGGTTTTGTCATGACGAGGTTTATTTATCATTATCTGATTGGTTGTCTCCGCATTAAGTAATGACAGCAAATTTCAGTAGTGTTACATTAAAATGTAGTTTCAACTTACTTTATCATGCTGAAAATGAGGAAAACTAAATTTTTTATTTTCAAATTAATGTCTGGTGTTTAATATACTATGTCATATTTGAAAAAAGTGACCATGCACCCAATAAATTTAACCCAAAGTACCAGGTTGTACCACAGCTCCCATTACCCAAATGAAAAGTTTTAAATTGTTTCTAAATATAACCTTAGTTTTTTATGACAAGATTTTACAATTGTTTGTATTTAAGTTATATACTCAACAATGTACTTTTACAAATCTGACTTAATACGGTAAGAACCTAGCGGAAAATAGATACTCCATATTCGAATATGTATTGTAATCATTTTGAATACAACAAAATATAAAGAAACTGGCATATCTTGCGTTAATGTTGAAAATCTAATAATTTAGTATGGTCGGTTAAACGTTTAACACGGTTAATACATTGATTTAACAGTAAGCATTTTTTCTAACCATGACACCCCTAGTTTTGGGTACAAAAAAAAAATAGATACATGTACTTAACTAAGCAATACTTACAGTTAAGGGCTCAATCAAACAAAAGTACTTCTGGTATTTGTCTAATTTCTGATGCATTCTCTGACAAAACTTCAATTTGAACTCTTCTAATGAAACTGTAAATAAATCAGTCATAACAAATTTTCATTGTTTGTAATATTTTGATTAGATAATTAACATATTTTAAAAGGTGTTTTTCAGGCCAAAAGCTTTCGTATTGTGTGATGCATTCTAATTCTTTACAATTGAACCATTGTTAATTGTGTTATATGGTAGATGGATTGTTTTTTAATCACTAAATTCTTTGAAAAGAAGAGTACCAATCAAGAAAACACTTTAAATATTAGCTAAAAAGTTGTATATATATATATCACAGTTCACTGATAATAATAGCCCTTTGACAAGAAAACATGGCGAGGCCAAACAGCACACATGTACCATTGGACCTAGCAATCAACTGTAAAGTCAACCCATTAACTGTAAAAGGTTTCAAGAGATAACCTGTGTCAGGTGTGTGCACATGTTTGGAGACTGCATCAATATATGCAGTAAATGACTGGTAGTCTGCTTTATGTGCCAGCTTTCTTACATTCTTCTTTAACTGGAATGTCTCATCTGTGAGGAAAAGATAACAGTAAACAAAATAATTCATACTGTATAACTGAATTTAAACAGATATGCATATACCCTACTAATGGAAAATTGTTAAGTTGACATATATTTTTTAACTTAAACAATGCCTGAAATAATGTAAAACCTTATAATAACCTCAGGTACAGACTAGAGGTCAAAACGCTGAAATCTAAAGGCTATAGTTGCTTTATTGGATTGGGTTTTTGGCCCTACTGGTGTCACACACACTTTACTTAATACCTAAATAAGTGGACCAGGTTGTGAAATATACTCGAAGCTTTCTTAACAATCACGTTGAAATAAATATCTAAAGGGAGGTAATTATGTAGAACAAATCAAGCTACAAGCACTACTACAATATTACCTGTATCTGGCTGCAGCAGACTGGTTTCCAGTATTCCTCTGTATGCAACATTTCTCATATGAAAATCATGTTCTTCATCTGTCTGTTCATGCCATCTGGCTCTGAAAACAAATTCAACATATGTACGTATTTAGTTTTATTTAACATCTATAAAATGGTCATTTTAGAAATTGATATTAAATTTACTTGCATTGTTGTATAAAAATTCAAATGCAGAGTATAAGCCATAGGCCATGAAATATTTTCAGTCTAGTTTGTTTTACACAGCCTCTGATTGGTTGAATCAAATAAAACAAGCAATTATCATAGTCTTGCAAGCAATCCATAAGTCCCTTACCGGTTAGAACCCCATCAACATTCTGAAGGGCCATTCACTAATGTTTCAATTTTTCTCTATTTTAAGTAAATTTGTCGGAAAAGTTCTTTAAAAGTGAACACAGGAAACAGTTTTTATGAACAGACAGACAGACGGACTGAAGGACACTCTAAAGTTAATATTTGAAACATCCCTGTTACCAAAATATAACATTTTAAAAGCAAAATTCTTAAACAGGAGATAACTCTTGAATTAAAGATTCAATTTCATAAAAATTTTCAGCTCTTTTTGACTAATCACAAATATTGTTATATTTGCCATGTTTTAAGCCTATTTGTTGCCAAGGCAACTGATATTTTTTTCAAAATAGGAAGAACAGATAAGACATGCATAATCTCAAGACTGCCATCTACCCATATGTCAAGTTTCATAAAAATATTTCCAGTACTTTCTGAGTTATCACTGGATTCAGTTCATGTGTAAAATTTGCCATATTTTCAGTCTATGTGTTGCCATAGCAACAAGAATTTTCAACATAGGAAGAAAAGAAAAAGACGTGCATAATCTCAAGACTGCCATCTACCCATATGTCAAGTTTATTAAAAAAATTTCCAGTACTTTTTGCTTTATCACTGGATCCAGTTTATGTGTAAAATCTGCCATATTTTCAGCCTATTTGTTGCCATAGCAACCAAAATTTTCAACATAGGAAGAAAAGAAAAAGACATGCATAATCTCAAGACTGCCATCTACCCATATGTCAAGTTTCATAAAAATATTTCCAGTACTTTTTGCGTTATCACTGGATCCAGTTTATGTGTAAAATTTGCCATATTTTCAGCCTATTTGTTGCCATAGCAACCAGAATTTTCAACATAGGAAGAAAAGAAAAAGACGTGCATAATCTCCATACTGCCATCTATCCATATACCAAGTTTCATAAAAATATTTTCAGTACTTTTCAAGTTATCGCGGGATCCAGTTTTGTGGACGGACGGACTGACAGACGGAGGGTAAACCTAAAGTCCCCTCCGGTAAACCGGTAGGGGACTAACATTCTGAAGCTGACCAATGAAATCACAGCAATTTCAAAATTTAAGACTGGTTCACTGCATCAATTTGAACACATGTCAATTGATATGAAAAACCTTGTTTCCTGGGCAGCCAGTCTTAGAGCATATGAAGAAAACTTGAACTCTGGGTAGGTTTGCTGAGTTTTAACCAGTGCTGTTTTCAACTGTTGACTCATGGGAAAATTGTCATGTGTCTGTATATCTTCTGAAAAGATAATCATCACAACATTAGGTATGCAGTGTACTTGATTTTCTTCGTGATTGATAATAAAACATGGCTTACAGTAACCAAGAGTTTTCTAAATTCCTGGTTTAGAATAATTCAAACTAATGACGGAGAAATAAGTTTCCCTCTAGAATATACATCTACAAATACGACCATATAAAGGCTTTAGTGAAGTTTCCTGTAAAAAAAAATCAGTTATAAATAAATCATAATATTATAAAGTTGTATTGCAAATGTTATGCAATGCTGACCCCAGTGTATACAGGATAACCTATATTTCCTATAAATACAAACGTTATATGGAAAATTACTTTAAAGCTTAATTCATAATATCTACAATGAAGGTCAATTTTCTTTGTGGACTGTTTATTAAACAAAAACATAATCTGTCTTGGTATAAAAACATATAAATATTGCTGCATGAACCAGTTTAATCTTCCTTCTAATACTAAACAACTTTCATAACTTCGTGAAAAATGCGTTCATAGTTATAATATCAAATATAAGGAGCTCTAGGTTACAAAAATCTTAAAATACAAACCATTAAAATTCATTCTATGGTAACAACAGCTCACACAACAAAGGGAGGTAATTTGATCCAATTCAACAAAATTGTTCAGCATGATGGGTGTTAAGTCTCCACAACAGTGTAGACCGACCATGCAAAATGTTGGTACATTGTTTACTTTATCACTGCCCACAACTGTATCTGGTAAACAACAGTCCCTTTCACTATCACAGACAAAATTGTTTTTTCTTTTACAAACTTCAAAAGCATTATCTTTAATGCCTTTATCATAATTTTTCACAGCAGCGTGAAGGTTAATATTGCAATTTTTATTTTTGGTATTTTCAATTGGATTATTTTCAAAATTTGATTGAGAACCAGTCGAAGAAAATCTTGCTAAAGCAGACTGATTCCCAGAATTGTTTTCAACTTTTTCAGATAATTCACTACCAGACCTGTCATAAGAATGCAATTCACTAGAATCAGTCTGAATGTTTTTTTCATGTGATTTAACAGTTTTTAAAGCAGTCTTGAAATGACAGCATTTGGTTGACTCAGATTTAATTTCAGAGAACCAGTCTAAAATCAAGGACAGAAACTCCTGCTGAGACTGTGTCTGTTGACTAAGTTCACATGTTACATTATGAAGGTGATGACATCTTTCTGGAATGTTTAATCACAAAATATTATTAAAACAATGTACATGTTTATTCTATACACTTTACTGTTGGATTCAAACCTACAAACCTCAATTAACAAATTTTAATGCCAAACTTCTGCTAAAGAAATCATTTTTCCCAATTAAAAAAAAATCCCCTCAAAATAAAGAAAAAGAATAATTTTTCTAAATATTATATTAAATTTTTTATATCTGACCTTTAACAATGTCCTAATGAAACTGCCTTTTGCAAAATAAAATATGTTATATTAACATGAGTATTGTCACACTATTGTCTTTATATATGCAGCAAAAATTGTCTGAAATTTCCCCTGCAAGGAAAAATACAGTGAAAATTCTCTCTTGTACAGGTACCATTCCGCAAAAATGGAGAGAGCCCTGGGTGCTCTTTCCTGCTTTACTGTTAGAGGAAGGCCTCAGGTGCCCCTCAATTAATTACTTTATTAATAACTAATGGCTTCAGAGTAGAAACATTGATCTTCTGTTAATAAGCTGGACAGATACTGTATAAGTGGATATTTATGCGTCACAAAAATTTTGAGAATGTCAGAAAGTGGACTTTTTGCATTCGGAAATATTTGCGAAAAAATAAAATTTCTTGAATTTAATAATGTTTTTGTGATATCATAAATTACACAGGTACATGTTAAGAATATGCCCTTCTTGTAATTGTTTAATACTTATACTTTAAAGTGACATTATGCCCATTCAAGGGTATATAGTGAGTGAACAGGTAAGAGTCAAAATAAGCTTTCATTTTGCCATATTTCCTTTAAATTTAATAATTTACTTTGTGTTAAAATTTATAATCCCTGGATACAAACAGAATTCCTGTAAAGATAAATTAGAATTTACCTGTTACTTTCAGTTTATAAAAAGAGTGGGGCAGTCTTTTTATATTTTAGGCAAATTTTAAATTTTATCCAAAACATTTTCCAATATAAACTTTTGGTCAAACACCATTTTAACAATCAATCATTTGAAATAAAAAGTCCATTCAGCTCATCTTAACTATGAAAATATGAGCATCACTATTTATATAACTGTTTGAAATAAACATTGATCACACATTTCTTTGTCATATTTTGAAACATTTTTTTTTGTTATATGAATAACCTATTGTGTTATTAACACATATATTGTTTTATTATTTACAACATTTATGATTTGTTAAGACCAAACTTAAACAAGCAATTTCAGTAACTGAACAGTCAAACTTATTCATTTAAGATGCTGTATGAAAACGTCTTTGCAAAATGAGAGAAAAAAGTTTGCCCAAAAAGAAATAACTTTTGTGCCATCAAATATTTGTAAATAATTACAATTCACATAAATCGCAAATATTTCCACTTTGCAAAATTAACCACTTATACAGTACCCATCTTGGAGGAATTCCTTATCACTAGCGGGATTCAAACTCATAGTAATTCCAAAAGGAAAATATATGTTCATTACATAAATCTAGAGAGGAACAATTAAGAAAGAAGAGTAATTTTTCAAAATAAAGTCAACTGAAAACGTATTTTATTATGAAAATATTTTACCAAACTTGTGAGTTCTTTTATCAGCACCAGATGTATGACCGTGCTTGCCTTCAAGTCCTAAAACACTGTGACCATAATTGCAATGTAACACCTGACAAAGATAACCCTGTAGACAAAATATTAAAACGTAGTGGTATATACAATATATACAATGTAATTTTCAATTCATATATATATATATATATATGTAGTTATGATGTTTAATTATAGTTCACGTAACCCTGTCATTTGCTGTGTTTGTTTGTTTTGTTTTTTCTTTAAGTTTATTGTTGTTACTATAATACAAATCAAGTTTTATTTTCTTTAACATCTTTATTTGATATTTGATCTTATTATTATTGTGACTTATATGTAATTTAACATGACCCTTGATTGGAAATAAAAGTTATTCTATTCTATTCCATTCTACAATATTCTGAGGTTAACAGTCCTACAAGTTTATCTTGATAAAAATGTATCTTAATGAAAATATGAACATACAACCATATTAAACAAGGTTATTAAAGTATAGTAAATCCTTTAAGAAATGAATAAGTGAGTGTAAAAATTAACAATATTTAGAAACAATTCTATGTTCAAGGGGGAAATCATTCTAAAAAACATTTGTGCCAAGAGTTATGAAACTTATCACAACTGTATTACCAGACCAGAACCAACATCTATCACTCCATCATTCCCAGTCTTTTTGGTCACGTGATCAATTAATGAGGTCATGTGACACACTTCATGTAGCTTCTTGCCAGTCATGCCTCTTCTTATCTCGGGATCTATTTCTGATATATTTGTAGGGGAGGTAATCGACAATCCTTCAATCGACCCATTTATCTCCCTTGGTAAAGAGAATTTAACACAATTTTGGATGAAGTTTTTCAAAGATTCTGGCCATTCTGTCTGCAAAAAATAAAAACATGTAAATAAAATGCTTTATAATCTAGACAAATCTACTGGAATATTCAATATAAAATTCCACCTAAAAAGAATTACTGTGTTCTGCAATAATTACTCTAATAGTTACCTGTATCATAGTTTGGGGACCTTTCTGTTGAAAATGTGTCAGAGTTAAATGGTATACATATGAGCCGTGTCACGACAAAACCAACATAATGGGTTTGCGACTAGCATGAATCCAGACCAGCCTGAGCATCCACGCAGTCTGATCAGGATCCATGCTGTTCGCTAACAGTTTCTTTACTTGTTATAGGGTCTGTAAGCGAACAGCATGGATCCTGATCAGACTACGCGGATGCTCAGGCTGGTCTGGATTCATGCTGGTCGCAAACCCATTATGTTGGTTTTATCGTGACACGGCTCATATACAATGTACATGCATAGTGTTTTAACTGGAGTGCAGGTATTAGTTACCCGCACTCCAGAGCATGCCCATTGATTGGGGTTTACTTATTGTGACGGCAGAGAAAGGAATAGCCATAGAAATATCATATTCAGATGTTCATTCATTGGTTACTTTTTTTCTTGGGTTTCATATTGTGACAACAAGGAATGTTTTTTTATTTCTAATTATGTTAGAAAAGAGAAAGATCATCAAAACACACAGCAATCTAATTAATATTCGGGGGGCTATGCCCCCTCGTACAAATCAGATAGCCCCGTGTTTTGATGCCCTTCCCTGATTACATAAATTCCATCACCAAAAGGCAGGATCATTGAAAAATTCATTTTATATACAATAGTAAAAGGACCAAAAAAATAAATAACTTTCCCCCCTGTTTTACTAATAAACTATACTGTCACATTAAAAATTGGATAATGCCTCTCTTGGAAGACTGTCAAAGTTTTAAGCAGCCACTAGGTAACAAAAATCTTGACAACGTTATTGTTATTCCGGAAAATCCTGGCTATATAGCCATATAGGCTGAGAAATATGCCTACAAGGGTTTAGTGTCAAACCCTTACCCTTGTAATAAGCTTTAACACTTAGCAATCTAACCAGGCTTATACTGTTTCTGGCCAAAACAATGAAAATGGACAATTTCAAAAATTGAAGCTACAAGTTTTTTTTTAAAGATATTTCAGAGGTAAAAAGGTAAATATTTAAAACAAGTGTTTTGAAAATTTTTCATTTATTATTACCTTATTTTTACCAAAAAGGCAAACCAGTCAACTCACTACTGGACATATCATTAGGTTTCTTTCCACTGCAAATATATATAATCGCTTTTTGACATTTTGTCTTTTTCAGGAAAAAATTTACGTTTAAAATTGAGAAGATATTTGCTCACTGAATATTAACACATCTCTTTTAAGTATTTTACCTACATAAGAGGCCTTATAACAGGTCACTTTTAGTTCAATATTAAAACTTTATTTCAAATCATGCCGTTTTAACACACAAAATAATGAAACTTTCACCCCCTTCATAACATCCTAAAAATTAGCAATTTTGAGTTTTTCCCCAAAAAATCAAAAGGCTAAGGGCCTCCTGGCCATTTAGTAAGAAAAACCACTGTTTTTACGTGATCCATTATCAAGAAAATTTTTCTGTGTTACAATAATTTGGTTTCAATGACGTAAACTATTTACTTATTTTAGCACAAGTACTGTCAAATAATTTTGGTTTCATGGTACAAACATCTCAGTGCCAAAACAAGTCGCAAAGAATCATCAGAGTGTACTTTATACAGTTTTTTATAATGATGATATAAAACATTTTATATTCTATAGCATTGATTACATATAACCATGTACATGTATATATTTTGTACTTATAAGCAAGTATAGGTTTTTAAATTTAAAAACCAAAATTTGGGGATTATATTTTTAAAAGTGGGTTTTTACATTTGTGGGGGTTTTTAAGTCTTTTCTTTATCGGGTTTGGGGTTTTTTCTTAAACTTAGGCTTAAAATTTTTAATTTATTAAATTTGAAAAGAAATTTTCCTGATAAATATTAAATTTTTTAAAAAATTATACCCCCTCGGGATTTGGTTTCTAATAAAACCATCATGGGAAAAATTTTCCCGGTCAGTTTTGAAGTCAAAAAACCCCCCTATAAATTTTGCCAGGAAAACCCGTTATTTTTTAAAAATTTTTAAAACTTTTGGGGAACAAATTTTCCATTTGGATGGGTGGCCCAAAAAAAACCCAAAAAAACTTATTAAAAAAGGTTAAAACCCGTTTTTTTGAAAAAAACGACAAAATTTAGCATGAAACCCCTGGGTTTTTTTTTTAAAATGGGTTAAATGTTCCACCCCAAAAATTTTAAAAAAGTTTTGGTTAAAAATCCTTAAAAAGGGTTGGGGTTTTTAATTTTTAGGCAATTTTATAAGTTAAAAACAAAAAAATTGGGTTTTTTTTTTTCCCCTTAAAAAATTTAAAAAGTTTTTAAATTTTAAAAATAAATTTTTTTCCTTGATTTCCCAAAAATAAAGGTTTAAATTTAAAAAAGTTTTTTATAAAATATTTTATGCTTTACTTCCCGTTGTAAAGTCCCGGGCCCCTTAAAAAAATTTTAAAAAATTTTTCCAAAAATTGATTAACTGGGATTAAAAACCCTTTTTAAAAATGTCCCCAATAGAAAAGAAAAACTACAGTACAAATTTGTATTTAAAATTCATGGGAATTTCATATTTAAAACCCCCAAAAAAAATGGTATTTTTCTTTCTTTCCTATAACTTTTTACCCCCAAAGAAAAAACTGAAAAAAACCCCAAAATTTTGGTGTAAAAAGATAAAATTTAAAAAAAGGGACCGGGAACCCCCGAATTTGGGTTTAAATACAGGTTGGCCCCCAAACAAAACAAAACGACTTTTTTAAAATTTTGAAACTTTTTTTTAAAATTTTTAAAAAGCAAAGGGTTTTCCCCCTTTTTAAAAAATAATGGTTTGGTTTCCCACATAATTTCCCTTTAAATTTTTAAACCCACCCTTTAAACCCCTTCTAATCCTTTGGGGGTAAAAGAGTAAAGTAAAAAAAGGGACGTAACGTGAATGAAAAAATTAAAAACCCGGTTTCCCTATGAAAACAATATCTTTTTTAAAAGGGGGGAAACCAAGCAAGAAAAAAATCAAGGTTTAAATATGAACCCGGCAAAAAAATTTTTCATTTAAAGTAAGGAAAATAGCTTTAAACAACCCTCCCTTGGGGGTTTCTTAAAATATATTGGTTGGGTTTTTTAAATTCTGTAAAAGCTTTTTAAATTTAAAAAAAAGGAAAACCCCTTCTAAAAAATTTTTGTTTTAATTTTAAATCCGGGAATTTTACAAAAAAGGGAAAAAAATAAACTCTAAAAAGATTTTTTATAAACAGCAAAAATCAGTTTTAAATCAGCAATTTCTACCGCCCCCAAATTTTTTGAAAACCTTTCTTTTTGGAAATTTTAAAGGCCCTGGAAAAAATCAAATAAACCATCAAAGAAATTTTAATTCAATTCTGTTTCCAGAAATAAAATAAAAATCGAAATTATTTTAAACCCAAAAATAATTCAATTTATTTTTACAGAATTTGTTTCTTAAAACCCGGTTTTTTAAATTTTGATGAAAACTTTTGTAAATTTTTTTTATTAAAGGGTTTTTATCTTGTAAAAATCTTAGTTCTTTAAAAATTTGAATGAGTATTTTTCCCTTTTTCCCCAAAATTTTTGGAATTTATAAGTTGGTTTTTTAAAAACCCCTAAACTTTTTTCGAAGTAAGAGGTTTATAAAATGAAAGTTTTTGAAAAAATTTTTAAAAAAAATAAATTTAAAATTTTTCTGAAAATAAATTCCCCTTTCACATTTGAAAAATGCCACCATTTAACACGCCTCACAAAAAAATAGCTCGATGGTTTCCCTTGGGAAAAAGGTTTGGCACATTTTTTAAAATGGGCCTGGGTTTTCCCAAAGAAAATAAAATTTAAAAAATTTATTAAAAAATGTTAAGCGCTTTCCCTGAAAGTTTTTTAAATTTCCCTTTGGGAAAATGGGGGGTTTCATTAAATTTTCAAAAAATTGGAAAAACCCAAACCCAAAAACCTTCAAAAGGTTTTTACCGTAAAAATTGCTTCCCAAAACGCTACTTTAAAAAAATAGAGCAATTAAAGGTAAAAACCTCCGAAAGAGGTTGCCTTTTATCATTTACCAGACGTGTAACAATTTAAAATGGGTTTCCCCCTGCGATGAAACATTTTAAATGATGTAAAGATTTTTCATTTAAACTATTTTTCACATTAATTTTGGGGCGGGGTGGGGGGAATAAATAAACGGTTTTTTGTTTCAGGAATATAGTTGAAACAAATTGAATAAACGATCAATAAAGAGAGAAGGTCTTTGGAAACTGGGTGACAGGAAGAAGGTTCAAAATAAAAAAAATTTATTTCTTTTTTAAGAAAATGATTAAAATTTATGAATAATTTTCCGAGCAAAAAAATAAATAAAGTACAAACCACAAAGTTTAAGCAGAAAATATCTCTATTTATTATTGGGCAATGGCCCACTAACGAAATATTTTAAAATTTTTGTAAGATTTTCAGTATAAACAAATTTTTTATTGTTTTTTGTAAAATTTTGAGATAGATATTTAAAAAAAAACATTGAATAAATTTTTCCAAAAAAAACAAATCAAATTCAGTTTTTTCCTTTAAACGGGAAAAAATTATAGAAAAATTTAAAAAAAATCCGTAAATAAATTTTTTTTTTTAAATTTGGCCCAAATTTGGGAAATAATTTTTCCCCATAGGTAATCGTAAACGTAACGGCAAAACGGTTTTTTAGTTTGGTTTTTTAAAAGGAATTAACCAAACAATTTTTCGGGGTTTCAAAAACAAAATCCTCTCCATGTAACCCCAAAACAGGTTTACGTGGGCCCCCCCCCAAAGCCCCCCCAAAATTAAAAACGTACCAATACCCCCGCGGTTTTTTTCCCCGACCCCTAGGGGAAAAAAAGAAAAACTTAATGGGGAAAATCCCTTTAAAAACTGGGAAAAAATTAACAACCCCAAAAAAAAAATAAAATTTTTTTTTTATTGGGTTTAAATTTTTTTTAAACCCTGAAAAATTTTTTTTGTTTTTAAGGGGAAAAAAATTTTGTAAAAATGTCCCCTTTTAAAAAGATGAAAATTTTTTTTTTAAACAAATTTTTTAAATTTTCCCTTTATGGGGGACCTAAAAATACAATTGAAGGGGAGTGTTTTGAAAAGAAAGGGTAATTTTAAAAACCCTTTTGGCTAAAAGAAAAAATTGAAATTTGGGGGCTGAAGGTTTTTAAATTGAATTTTTCCAAAATTGCAAATAAGAACACCTTAAGGTTAAATATCACAAAGGGGGGATTACCCTAAAGGTAAAAAGAGGCCCCCAAAATTAAATCATTGGTGGAAATTTGGGAAAAATTTTACGCAAAAATTTACTAAAAATCGAAACATGTTGCCCCCAAGGGCCCAAGGGAAGGTTTACACTTAAGGGTAGTTTTCCCTCTGGTCCCCCGGGAAACTTTTTTTGTAGTTTTAAAAGAAGGTCCCCGTCCGGATAAAAACTTTGGGCCAAATCAAAGGGGGGGGGGGGGGGGTCAAAATGGTTTCACTGATGTATACAAAATAAAAGACGTGTCGCGCCAAAACCCATTTTCGTTGGTTCAAGGTCAAATGCCAAACAAAACATTAGTAAATCATCCTGCATATTTTCAAAAAGTGAATAAGAATGGCCCCCGTAATTCGTGTTATAATGGCCCATTAAACAAAATGCTCACATTAAAATGTGAAAAACGCGCCCGGGGAAGACCTAATCCGTTAGTTCAAAGTAAATATCACTAGGTCCAATCGACCCATCCTCCCGGGCCAGAATTTAGTCAATTTCATGGAATGATTTTTAAATTATTCGGAAGACCAACAGGGCCTTTCCGTGACCACACCGGTTTTCCGGCGTCCCGCCTACAAAATCCAGAGATCCCGAGTTTCCATTCATAAATGAGAGAATGAAATGGTTTTTCCAATTTCAATGTATACTACAATCAGAATAAGGGTAATTTCAATGTGTTTTTGGCCCAAAAAGCAAAGCTTTAATTGTCAAAACCAAAAACTATTTGCCAAAAGCCCCCAGGGAACCAAAAAGCCTTTCCCTAAAAATCACTAGGGAGGGCCAAAAGCTTTTTCCCTAAAAAACCAAAAAAATAAATTGGACAAAGTTTTTTAAAAAATTTGACGAAAAAGGTTTTTGGGCTCTTTTTTCAATTTAAAATCGTAAATTAAAATTTTTTTCCAAATTTCAAAATTAAATTTTTTTCGTTTATTTTTAAAGACAAAATTGTATGTTTCCGCCAAAAACAACAAAGAAAAACCCAAAAACAAAAAATTTTTGTGTAGAATGTATGCAAATAAGAAATTTTAAAAAAATAAACATAACAAATTTGGGCTTTTTTAAAAAATTTCAATTTTTAAAAGATAAAATCAAAATTGAACCAAGGGCCTTTTTAAGAGCACAACATAACCAACCAGACACCACCAAACATCATGCAATTAAACAGCATTGACCATAATACTGTATAAATAGGGAATCAACGGATGGAATTAATAACAAAAATCAAAGAAAAAAGTATTCAGATTAGTATTAAAAAATGTCCATTAAATTTTGTGGTTTCTTCTTTTATAATATACAGAAATAAAAACAGTACAATTAGTAGATATGATATATATGGCGTATTGTTAAAATTTGTGTTTTAACAATTATGTTTAAGGAGTTTTTAAATTGAATTTTTAATAATAAAATAAATTTCATTAAATAATGGAATCAGCTAAACATAATTGAAAACAACAACCCAAGTAAAACACAAAGGATAATAATCTATAAAGAATGGCAAAATCTACCTTTTACAATCTAAGTTTAGTAAGTCAAAAACAAAAGGGAAAATAATTTAACATTGCATAAATAATGGTTAATAATACAAGTTTTTGAAATCTAAAATTTTTTGGGCAAATCTTTGATATTACAACCCTTTCAAAACTTCAGAAAATTTTAGGGTTTTAAAAAGGGGCCCTGAAACCCCAAAGACAAAATCCCTAAATTTTTGATTTTTAGTGAAAAAGGGGTAACAACCCCTGGGGGGAAAAATGAAAGAAAATGATTTTTTTTTAAAATTTAAAAAAGCATAACTCTTGTCAAAAATCATCGAAGAATGACCAAATTTGTACTTGACCTGCACATTCCTATGGCATATCCATATTTTAAATTTGATTTGAATGTGAATGTGTAGGGGAAGTAATGAATGAAAACTAAAAATGTCTTATTTTTTCAAAGTTAAGGGGCATAACTTTGTCAAAAATCACCGAACCATGACCAAATTCTAACTTGACCTTGCATTTCTTTGGCGTATCCATTTATTTTTTAAATTTGAGTTGAATGTGTACAACCTTTAGGAAGATATCGAAAGGAAACTGAAAATTTCATAAAGGGGCATAAATCTGTCAAAAATCACCGGACCATGACAAAATTCTAACTTGGCCTGCATTTTCTATGATATACCTATTTGTAAATTTTGTGTAAAATCTGAGCAACCTTAGTTTTTAATTAAACGCAACACTTAATTCAAAAAGCTTCTTCTAAATGACTTCTGCTTCTGAATTGAATAAATATCTCAACATATTCCTTGCACACAGAAGAATTATCAATATTCTTTTTCATTTTAACAAAAATAATGTATTTCAGACAAATTACTTATCGTGAGCTTTATATTTGAAAGAAATTTTCATTTTTCTAAATAAAAATGTAAGCAAGTAATGAAATAATTCTTATATCAGTATATTAAATCAATACAAGTGTTTTACCTTAATCAATACAACGTGTATCAAAACCTTATAAAAACAAATCATGCAAAGGATTCGCTTTCATGACTAAAAATAATGTGTTTTTTTTGCGATTTAATCATTAAGTTTTACGTTCACATTTTTAATATTACAACTTCAAACTAACAAGTCGAAAATACCATGTCACATTTTATTAGGTACTTGAAACAATGGATTTAATATAATAAAACCTTTAAATGGAAAACGTTTTCAAAAAATATTATTATATTTATGAAAATAGGAGAACCTAAACAAGAAAAGTGATCTTCATGAAATATCGGAAACAAATACAGTCATGACAGTCAATATTGATTATAAAATCCATTATATGATCATTCGTAATGTACCTCTGCTGTACACATGTACAAAAGTTATTTACCAAAGTGAAGGCAACTGCCACTAGTAAACTGATTGACAACTTGCTCAGGATTGATTTGGTGGCTGAACTGTTCTCAGGTGCATTCATAGTGGCTAAATCGGATTTTATTTCCCTCTTAATTACTTCCGTGACTCGGCGTATATACAACCACCATCACCACTACCTGTTTTAACATGCTATTTCGAATGTGCCCATTTAAGAACAACAATTGCACCAAAAGAAAAAATAAGAACAAATATAGAAATAAACACAAGCCAAAAGTAAACTATGTCAACAAATTCAGCTACTTCCTGTCCAGAAAGATCATTTACAATAACAGTTTTCAAATCATCCATTTCTTTTTCACACAACTCGGCGTTAACTTGAACTTCGTCGCTTTTTGATGTCACAATTGTAGCTTCAGTTTCCAATTCTTGGTCAATAATCAGGCGTGTGTTTCTTTTTCTTCTTTTCATAACCATTCGCAGTTTGAAATTTGGGATTTTCTTTTTATCAATCTTTTTAACATTCGTTAAGTGAACTATAAATATACTCCATGCCACACCGATTGTATTTATAAGATTGATTATCAGAATTTCGTACGACATGTAAGGTAATCTTAATGAGTTATTTGGAATTGAGTCAATCGCTGCAGTTGTTGCAAAAACTAGGGATAAATATAATGTTAATGCAAAAGATAACCTTTCTCCGGAGTCTGGCCTGACATAGCACGTTGCTATATTTAGACTTGACATAAGTGTTATAGGCGCATATATGTTATTGATAATGAATGTAGGTCTCCTCTTTAGAGAAAAAGATACATCGACCATAGGGACAGTAATATGTTTAAATCTTTCTTCTTGAATATAACCTACCGCTGCATTTGTATTTTCAATATACCATTCACCATTTTCCCTTAGTTTTTTGTGATGATAAGATGTATTTCCTTTGTCGACCGTCAGATGTCACATTGTAAATTTGAATTAACACAACTTCCAAAGAGGTCGATAATAATTGTTTTCACATTTAGTGTGCCTACATGTACATAAACGTTCAAATCCTTTTGTATCAGTATAAACAAACTGCATTTTGACGTTTACATAACAAATTATATACAAAAGTTGATACAAGGAAGTCTAGATAAATAAAAATAAATGCATACGACAGCATAGATTTTTTATACCTTTTTTATAAAAAGGTTGCTAATTGATTCCAATAACTGGGACGTTCCCTTCATGATCAACTTATTGAGTGAGGTATCTCCTGATTTTTGTTGTTCGGTTCCCTACTGGGTGCCTCTTTGGCCGTTTCTGGGTGACAGAATATCGGTACACGTATGTCTTGTTGATTTTTATTATCATACTTTGTGAAGGACTTGGTCAGTCAGTCTATGTGCGGGCAAATAAAACAAAATTCAAATAATAATCAATCAGTCCAATATTGAAAGTATATTCGCCATTTATTTTAACAACTTATGTAAGAAATTTCTTGATGTTTTATCTAGATCTTAAAAGGAATAGTAAAGACAACTGTTTTCGGATAACGGAATTATGATGTATTACAATGTCAAAATTATTACAACAAAAATAAAAGTCCCTTATACCCTAAGACTCGTGTACAAAATTGTGTTTGGAGCAGTTATGATATAAAATAACGATATACTGTAGTTGAAAAAAATGACCTGAATTAAAGGGATACCCAGGCAAATATATGACAAAATATTAAATTACCATATTTACTTAACTGACGCTAAAATGACGTTTTTAAAAGCGATTAAAAGACCCAGCATGTTTTTTTTCTGTATAGATACTCATAATGTGAGTTTAAAATGTAAATAAATCTACATATGTTGAACAAAATGACGACGCAGACAGAACTAAGGAGTAATTTTAAAACAAGTCATTTGACAATTACAATCCCTAAAAAACAATGTTTCCGGATATTCACAAGATAAAAGAATTACAATAACGTTTAAATTGCACTGATTATTTGAATTTTACTGATTTTGAGAACTATGATGAAGAATGATGCTTAGTTATTTATGCTGAATTGATAACATGCAAGTAATGCCAATACTCTAATTATATTTTATACACGTTATTTTATTAATTTATAAAAGTTAATACACGTAACATGATTGTTCTTTTAAACGCAAATCATGATTAAAAAGAATTAGTCAGTCGGGCGTTCGACATTCTTAACTATTACAACACTCCAAAGAAAACGAAAAAATCAAAGTAATAACCCCCCCCCCCCTAAAAAAACAACAACAGCAAAACATCAACAACAACAACAAACACTCAAACACCCCTACATAGAACAAGCAAACACAAAATATATGAACATCTTTCTTGGCTTGCGCCCCTTTGAAGTTAAAGCAAACAAGTAACCAAAATATTTAAGACAAGTACTCAAAGTAACCGCTGAATTATATCTTAGTATTTATAGTTTTTCTTACATTCTCTTACATTCGAAGATACATATTTTTTTTGTTTACACATTTTATGAGTATAACGTATAGCAGTAGTACAAATATAAACGCCATTCGTCGACCAAAAGTTTGTCGAAGAATAAAAATGTAAATAAAACATGAAGGTTACATGCCTGTTCATAACAGATCACTCTCATACTAATTGTATCATACTAACAAAACTCAAATCACTATGAATATTGACTCAAAAGAAAAAAAGATAAGTAAGCCTTTTTGAATACGTTTTACATTTATTGTATAAATGTGCGTGAATGTTAATTATACAGTGATACAGTTAAAAACTGCTAATCAATGACTGTTAAGTCAGAATGTATTCAAATTGAAGGTACGTGTATCTCATATTTTCCTGTTGTGCTAGTTGGTCAATCAATATGTATGCCCATTTCTAACCAACTGTTTATGGCTAGAATTTTTTTTTCCTTATCTTGAAAGTTGTCAATTATGACTGATTAAAAGAAGAAAATTATTGAAGTAAAAAAATCTGAAGAAAAAGTGATTCCCCGGAAGCATTAAATAGAATAAAGTTACATGAAAATTGAAGATTCGGTTTGATTGAGTCTGTACATGGGGGATAATGAAAAAGTGGAACATCTTGTAAAAATATGATAAACAAGATCAACAAGGAAGGGCGGCGCCCAATGAACGCAATCCTCACACGTAAACCTTTCTCTAAATGACAATTGTATTTTTCATTTGTCACATTCATAACTAATATTGCCGTTTCAGATTACAGAAACTAAAGAAAAAAATGGTACATTTAATGATATTTTCCATCCAATCATAATCGGATTGTCCCATGTAGATTCTAATATTGATATTGCTAATGTAATGAGATAGATATTTCAATATTGAATCAAAATACAAAGGAATATCTCAGATATGTGCTCAACAGTCATGTGATTAAGGTTGGCTATCTTACGTGATCATCTGATGATATGAAATTAATAATATAGGAAGTGAAACATTAAATTATGTCACTGGCCGGATGTTCACCTTTTACAAATATGTATGCTCAACCAGAAAAAATATAGATTATAATAGTTCTTGAAGAACATTCGAAATGGAAAAATTGAAAAAAATGGTACAGACTCGGTTTGATGGACGGTTCTGAAACGTGCAAGCTACTTTCACGCTAACTATCACTGGGTTACGCATCAACAACATTTAACATGAAATGGTAAATTTCTGAGTTTGGAAACATCTACAGTATCTAGTTTCAACAGTACGTCTGTTGTTTTATTGTTAATGTTTGTTAGCAGCAAAGGTTTTTATCATTGCCTGTGTGTTAGTGTATAGTACTAAAATATCTGGACGACATCAACCGGTAGGGGTGGATGTCTCAAAGAGTGACACAACTTGTGAACGGTGAACGCAATATACATTCATATGTTATGTAAATAAACTAATTAATAAAGATGATGCTGTAGTTATAAAACGTACATCAGCTATTTGATAATATTTTAAGTACTACATTATTATTAGGTATACACCAACTACATAATTATACATTTAAAACTACGTACATTATATATTATAAGAAGACAGACAAAAGGAATCCCTAAAGAACTCCCGAATTGACAGAATTGAAAAAAGTTGCAGCCTCGTTTTCATGAACGTTACAAGTGCAAGTTTCCGCCCACGCCCCTATCACCGGTTTAAGCCGAATTCAACATTTAAACATGAAAATGGTCAAATTTTGAATTTAGAAGCATCCACAGATGTGTCTATTTAGCGGTTATTTTTAAACTTGCACATCACTTAAACATCAAAGTAGATTAGTTTTAGCAATAGTCAAAGACGTAAGTAGTATCCAATTTCCCTTTGAACGTCAAAAATTATTGCGCGAGAACGCTTATCAATCTCCATCGAGTACATGCAGCCGTTAACTGCCATATTTTGAACATGTTTACATATCATTGAGGTCTTTAATTTGTTGTTATTGTATATTTATTTACAGGAGCGTATATGTTTAATGGAAACCCGTACCCATTATCGGCAGGTGTAAAATTGATATTTTGAATATTTTATAAAAGGTGTGCCAAACTCTTAGTCTTATTGGCCATAGCTTTCCATGAAATTCTATGCACAAAATTAGATGCATTTGTCACATGAATTACTTTACTACTAGTATTTCATTAACAATAGAATCTATGGCTTAACATACAATAATAATATTATCAAAAATGAGGAAACATTAAGAAACGAAATACGTCTTATCGCTGATTACTTCTTTTGCTTTCTTTGTTAATTTATACCCATTTATCATGTATTTTCATCAAAAAGAGGAAACGAGGACCATACAAGTGACAAATCAGTAAGCCATTAGGATTTTATAACGGTATGTTGATTTTTTTGAAAAGGAAATACACGCATGTGAGCTACAAAACAAAGTCATTAATATTTGCCAAAACAAATATGATTGCTTAACGTTGTTTTGTAGGTTTAATTTGTAGAACATGTGGCTTACTTTTCTCGGACGTTAACCTTTTTTCTTCACAATAACAATCCTTTGTGATATTGAACCCATTTGTCATCTAAAATAATTATTTCATATTATCCATGGATAACAAATACTATCAGGTCAAATATTCGTAGACGTAAACGATTGTACAGAAAA